AGCGCATAACCCCGCGTTCCTCCGAGCTGCAACGCCGATAACCCAAGAAAGATAACTGGGGCGGAAAGAATGGGCCGGATGCTGGACCCTCTCGAGATTTCGAGCTATTTCTCTCTCTTTTACTGCCTGCGCGGGGACTCGATGCAATGTAAACCCAAAGCTGAGATCCAAAATGTTTCAGCTTGCCTCCGGAACGACCTTCCGCCCTGCGCGGCTGCTGGGCGGATCGCGTAGACCTGGGACGGAGAATCAAAATCTTTCAGAATTCATAGATTGACCATATCGGTCTGTGGGATTTATGCGTTCCCTCAGGCCGCTACGCAGATAGCCCAAGAGAGATAAATGGGGCGGAAAGACGGGGTCGGATGCGGGGGCCGCGCGACCAAAGATCTCTCTAGATTTCGAATCATTTCTCTCTCTTTGGCTGTCTGCGGCGCGGCTTGTGGGAACGTTTTGATCCGGGCGGGGGGAGATCTAAAATCTCTCGCATGAATATATAGGTTGTTCGTTTTCTATCCAATACGATCTTATATATTGATTATTCATCGGGCTATATATGCAATCTTATATATAGATTATTCATCGCTCTTCTCGATATTTATATTCTCAAATAAATACTTTCCGCTGCTATACGCAACGGGTCAAATTCTAGTATTTGAATAATTCTGAAATAATAAATTGATTCAATATTCTCATTTCAATATTTGCTCTATGAAATGACGCGGGCATCTTCCGTAATCGGCTTTGCGCGGGGACCCTACTCCGGACGAATCCTTGATATCCCGGAGCCGTTTTCCTCTAATTATGCTCCCCGAGCTTGGAGGAAAATAATAAATTTCCATGATTTTTGAAGGTATCGTCCAGCGCGAAATTGATTGAGGAAATATCTGAAATTCTGAAATTTTTGAGGATTTCGTCTCGGACGAAAATTTGGAGATTTCTACGTTTTATTCGATCGGAAATTCTTCGGATTTTTGGGACTTCGTTCGTTCGATCGTTATTCGCGGATAAAATCATAGAATTCTTGAGAATTTATATATTTCATTTGACCGAATTTTCTTTGGAATTTGAGGATTTTATTTATTTGCTTTTGCATTCTTCTTGAGATGAAATAAATATATATAAATATATTCATTCTTGAGATTTCGATTATATCGAGATATTATTTCGAATTAGCATCGCCCTCGCGAATTTCGAAATCGTAAATTTTTCGTATATTCGTAATCAGAAAGCTTCTAAATAGAGAATATATTTTATATGGATAAATGACCCTGCCTTGGATGATATGGGAGCGGCTCGAAGCGATAACGCGTTGAAATAATCGCTGCTGGTCTTGGATAATTTTGACCAGGCAAATTCCTCGATTCGTCGAGAAAATTTTCGTAGCTACGATAATGACTGGGACAATGATTGGATCAACGATTATGATAGCTATCTTTAAAATTATTGTGATTGGGAGAAGGACTATGATAATGATTGGGATAAGGATATTGATAATGACAATGATTGAGAGAATGAGAATGACAATGACGAAGACACTGACTGGGATAATGATACCCCAAAATTTAGTGGCTTCGCCCTGATGCGCCAGCGCAGAATTATATCATTAATAAGGATCATAATGGCAGATCATTGAGTTAGAAGAATGAGATTTAAATATATTGACCATTTCTTCCAAGTTATTAAAATCATATTGAATTCCCAATTCAATTGGTCTCAGCTGAATTCAAACGAATTCATCTGAATTCAATTGAAATCTATTGAATTCAATTGGATCCATTTGAATTCAATTAAATTCAATTAAATTCAATTGAATTCAATTGAATCCAATCCAAATTTATTGAATATTTAACTGACTTCAATTGACTTCAATTGACTTCAATTGACTTCAATTGACTTCAATTGACTTCAATTGACTTCAATTGACTTCAATTGACTTCAATTGAATTCAATTGACTTCAATTGAATTCAATTGAATTCAATTGAATTCAATTGAATTCATTTGGAATCAATTATATTCAATTGAATTCAGATGAATTTAATTAAATTCAATTGAATTCAATTGAATCCAATTGAATTCTCTTAATATTATTAATTTGAATTAGATAGATAAGATTCATTTCAATATATATTAAATAATCATCAAAAAAATCGAATTGATCTACTGCCTATAATTACGGAAGACATCTATTTCAGAATGCCTATAACGAGAAATCCGCTGATCAATCATTAGATAAGATCCCATATGAAATCTGATGAATAATCAATATATAAAAATGTATCTGATAAATAAATAACCAATTTATAGATTCTGAAAGATTTTAGATCTCTATCTCCAATCGATACGTTCCGCTGAGCCACGCAGACAACCAAAGAAAGAGAATTAAATCGAATTCTCGAGAGATTTTTGATCGCGGCCGCATCCAATCCGCATCCAATCTCGCGCGACGGCTCGGGAACAGCTATGCAAACAACCAAAGGGAGATAAATCACGCGGAAGAACGGTCCTGAGGCAAACAGAAAGATTTTGGATCTCCGCTCCGGATCTATACGTTCCGTCGAAGAGAGAGGAATGATTTGAAATCTCGGAAATTTTAGCTCGCGCGACCTTCCCATCTATTCCGGTCTTTCCGCCAGATTTATCTCTCTTAGATTATCTGCATCCGAATCCGGTCCGGTTTTTCTTTCATTCAATTCTCTTAGGCTATCTACGCGGCGACTCGGGAGAAGATATAAATATCTATAGATAAAGATCGTCAAATTTATGAATTCTGAATATTTCTAATTCTTCATCTAGATATATGCATTCCATATAATAATCGCATAAATGAACGAAAGAGAGATAAATCACGTCGATGAATGCTCCGGAGATAATCTGAAAGATTTTAGATCTCCATCTCGGGTCCTGTCATTATAACGAAAATTCATATAGATAATCAATAAGAGAATAATGATCCAGCATCTTGCCAGAATTATAATCGTGCGGCGCCCCATCTCCATTCTTTCCGCCTCTTTTCTATATTTTAGATATTTACGTGGCGATGCGAGAGATCATGAATCTCCGTAGATATGTAGATTAATATATATATTCCAAGAGATTTTAATTCTCCGTCTCGAATATCGAAAGACAGATAAATCATATAGAAAATTGATGCAGATGCGAGGATCGTGCGACGAAATTATTTCGAAGATTTTAGGTCGTGCCGCCCGCTTCGAATATTTTGGAGATTTTAGAGCCTCTGATTTTTGCGAAAGAATTGGGAAATCTCCGAGATTTTCGAATAATTAAAAATTCCGGAAGAAATTAGAATTAATCCGCTACCTATAATAACGGAAAATATGTATTTGAGACTCCTCAAAAAATAAAATGAATAATCATCATATGAGATTGCACGTGAAATCCGATCAATAATCAAAATATGAAATCATATGAGATAAAAACGACCAATCTCTTTATTCTGAAAAATATTGGATCTCTGCCCTGGAGCTATATAATCCGCCGAGCTGCCGCGCAATCAACCAAAAAGAGAGAAATCATTCGAAATCTCGAAAGAATTTTATTCCGACGCGTCCCGTATTTGATCCGGTCTTTCAAACTCTTTTATCTCGCTTAGAATATCTGCCAATATCTGCGTAGCGTCTCGAAAGAGAATATCAATTCTCGTAGAGAGATATGGTCAATTTATAATCTTTCAAAGATTTTAAATCTCCATTTCGAATTTATGCGCTCGACCGAATAATGACGCAAATACTCAATAATATATCAATCATTCGGAAGAACGACTCAGAGGCAAGCTGAAAAATCTTAAATATCTTGCTCGAATCAAAACGTTCCAGCGACCCGCCGCGCAGAAAATCAAAGAGAGAGAAAAAATCAAAATCTCAGAAGATATTTCGTGCGAATTCCGTATGCTCTCTTAGAATATAACGCGATCGATCGAGCAAACATATAATTTCCCAAGAATTTAGATCTCCGCCCCCCACATACACCTAAAGAACGAGAAATATTTCGAAGATTCAATTTTTCAGAATCATTTATCTCCCTAAAATTCCACGATCAATAGAGAGAGTATATAAATCTTCGTAGATAAATTCATCTAATATACTGCTCAAATAATCAAAGATAAATAAATCACGCGAAGAATCGTTCTATAAATAAAGCTCGTATTTCAAAAATTCTCGATAAGTTTAAAATTCAAAGCCTTGCCGAAAGACTTTAAATCTTCCGAGATTTTGTAAATCTAGCGAGCCTTCAAATAATATACTTAAAATAAATTAGAAATAATATAATAATATTTAAAAGTAAATAAATATATATAAAAAAATCTAAATATTTATCTTATTTCTCTAATATTAAAAAATTTATAATAATCCTTATAATTACGTCCCAAATTCTAATATTTTATCAGAATATATATATATAATTTCCTATTACGACCCCTTCTATCAAAAATTATAAAATATCTTGAATTATATAAATAATACTAAATATTTCAAAAATTAGCTAAGAAATCTTCAGGTTCTCGAATTTTTGAGATCAATCTCTCAAGTCCTCCAAGCGAGCAGCAACCCACCCAAAATAGAGTGTAACTCGCATTACTTCAGAAAGAAGAGGTCTTTTTCTCTTCTGTATACATAACTTCAGATCATTTCCCGTCCAATGAAGAGAAATCCTCCTGTCGTACGATATCCTTATCTAATATATATCTCTTTAAGATGTCATTCTACTAAATTAAATTTGCACCCTCGTATCAAACTCAGACTCTTCCAATTTTGCGAAATGTTTTTTGCAGCGGTCACATGTTCTCTGGGAGAGTAGGGGCGGACCGCCTGTATCCACTCCTTCTCTATTCTACGTCATCAAGGAAAGGGTCCATGGACAGTGCCAGGGCATATCTGCCCAGCTCAATCCATTTTGTTGGGAGGCCACCTTGACTTCCTTTCCACTCTATGGTTAGTTTATGGAAAATGCGAGGATAGTCGGTCTGAGCGACTAGTGCTCATTTGCAGCCCGCCTCCGCAGCAAAGTAGGCCTCGCGTGAACAGGGCTTATGACATAAGAAGCATGCCTGCAGACTGCAAGAAAGGAAATCCATTTGAAAGCAAGTAAGGAACTATGGATTACGATGCATCTTTCCCGAATCCAACGTTCCTTTCGCAAACACTATCGCGACCTTTCACGGATTTTCACGGAAGGCCTTCTAAGCCAGCCGTGGTCGTTTTATATGGAATCTCCACAAGGGGTTTTCGGACGATAACCATGTGGATTGTAGCCTTGCCCAAGGCCCGGCCTCTTGGATACGCTGAGTAGCCAACTTGATGGCCTGTGTGTCTGGGTCGGGGAGGTGTCCGGCTCGGAAGCGCTGAAGCAGGAAGGCCATGCCGAAGATCGCAGACCGTAGTTGCTGGATTGTCTGCCTCGGCTTCTCAGCTGTGCGAGACTAGCCGTGGCGTTGCTGCTATGCGGGTGCAAAACGAGTCTGACATGTCCCACTCCGCTGCTCTTTCACAAACTACACGTTTCCCAATCTGCCGGTGTGTGCAAAGGCTTGGGAACGGCAGCCATTCCAAGACTTCATTGAAGATTGTTCGTCGTCCATGTTCAATGATTCAAGGATGGCAGGATGTGTTAAAGAGCTTGGCGCCCTGCTATCCCAACAAAGAACTCTATAGCTCACGCCTCCAAATGTCATTATTCAATTCTGCAAAACCCCCGAAAGCAACGAGCACATCTTCACGAGAGGTCATCATGCCTTAAAGCTCGATGTGGTGGGCTGCAGGGCTCCTGTCTTCCACTTTCCTGGCTCCCAAGACTCCTGCTGAATCGGTGTCACGTCGGCCAAGGCACCTCACGAGCTCGGAGTGGCAGCCCTGCTCAGCCACAAAGCCCTGGAAAGCCTCAGAGTCAGCCACGACCGATGCCAGCTCTCCCAGTAGGTTGGAGCCTCAAGGGCAGCGGCTCTGTTGCCGAGTTGTTCTCAACCTGCTCTGTTGGGGATGTGCAACTGTCCCAGATTGTCTGTGACACATCACAAAACAATTTTGACCCTGCATGAACCATTGAATGACCGACCCATCCCATCCTGAAACCATCCTTGCCCGATTCCAAGTCTGACCTAGAAATGATGTACAGCCCCAGCCCGTAGACTGTGGGATGTGGGGCTTTCAGGGGCTGCTGCCTTCCAACCATGCCGCTCGTAGGTGGCGGTGGCTGCGTTGCATGGCCGCCATGCTGGTGGTGTAGCTCGCCTTGGTGCTCCGAAGAAATGGAGTGGCTCTCCAACCCCATCGCACTCCAGGATGATACTCGTACACCGGAATACAAACAAACCCACCAGCGGTCATGAGGAGGGAAGCTCATCGTCACCAAACAACTGCGCCACACACTACTGTAGAGCAGGGCAGGCAGTTCTGTGGGGAGGTAGAGACTTGCAGTCCTGATGCCTGCATACCTACATGTAGACTCTTGGACAATTTCAGTTCTCCAACTCGCACACACATGCATATCAAAAGTGTGCCGGCGCATACCACCCAGCCGGGCATTCAGCCAGCCATTCCATCTTCCAGCGCACCCGCATGCGCCTGGCTACCTAGCTAAGCTACCCAAATGGCGATTGATCTTCACCGATCAACCTACCTTACGAACCCTATGAACCTTACCTTACTTTGCCCACCTGGTAGTTTCCATAAACAAGGGAACCCCAATATATAGCCCTCAATATATGAGAATCCTTACTGCGGGGACCCTAATTTTGGGAAACTCCCACCTCACCCACTTTAGTACCTATTTTGGCAAATCCAAATCCCTATGATCCACGATAGAATCGCATTTTTCATTTCATTTCCATTTTTGTTTCCATTTCATTCTCCATTCTCCAAATACATAGCAGAGTGGCAGCCAGGCCGGTAAAGCCTTGGTTGCAAGCCATGAAGCTCTGCATCTCTTCCACGGAGCTTTGGAAGCTTTGCACCTCCTCCTCTGCCGCATCAAGGTATGCATCCTTTGCAGCAGAACGACTTCTTGGACAAACACTGAACCTTTGTAAGAACACCAATTTCCATCTCATGTTCCATTTCATTCTCCATCATTGGGGGGAATTTTCTTAAACCCTTCAGGCAGTTGCCTGAAAGCCCTGACACTTAGGACTTAGGCTGCGGCCAGCTTGGTGCGGAGCTGCCACCAAAGGTGGTCCATGGCCACCATGACCTGGTGACGCTCTTGGACCAAAGCTGACTTGCTCCGAGCAAGGTAGCTGGAGGCGTTGGATTCCATCCTGTAGATCCCCAAAGTTCGCAGCTGGGAGCTCGCCTGATGCTGTAGGCCCCGCAGACTTTCTGCTATCTGGTGGGACAGCATCCTCTGCTTGTCTTGGCCGTTGCCAGCTCGCTGCAACGTCTGGTGCATGACATCGAGACGGCTGAGCAGGGATGCCGCTTCCGTGGCATTAGGAGAGTTCGGAAGGTCTGGTGCCTGGAGGAATTCTGTCAAGGCACCTGTGGCCGTGATGCGCGAGAGCTCGTTGAAAGAGGAGGCCTCCGCATAGCCAGCCAGCTCCTGGAGCATGCTGTCGGTCAGTATCTTGGTGTTTTGCAGGAGCGCTTCCTGGTCTTGGTCAGACCCTTGCTCTGTCAGCATGGTATGGATCTCTTGCAGGTATGCTGTGTTGATGGCATGCATATAGTCCAGCTTGTCACCAAGCCAGCCGGTCTCTGTGCGTGCTGCCTCTGCGGACCATTTCACCAAAGCCTTCATGTTGCTGTTCGTCTTTTTGGTCGCCAGCTCGAGGTTTCGAATGATGGAGCGATCTCCCCGGATCACGGCATCGCGCACGCAGTGGATGTCGCAGAAGGCCCTTGCAAAGCCCACCTGACAGAACAAAAAAAACTGTTGGTCCTGAGCCTGCAGCTCATTGCCCAAAAGGGCTCAGCCGGCCCCAGGCCTGGATGGGATCGCAGGCTGCCGCGGCTTCCTTGATCTCGTGCTTATGTGCTGAGAAACAGAGCCAGAATGATAGAGAGAGAGAGAGAGAGAGCGAGAGAGTGCCAACAAAACAAATCATTTTGCATCTTCCTTGTGCTGCAGCTGAGGGACCTGACTTACGGCATATTCTTCGATTGAGGTGCCGACATCTCAGTCACGTTTTGGAGTTATCGCGCAACATGCAGAGGATACCCGGAAGTCTGGACATGCGAAAGTGGACTTGCTTGGCTATTGGAAAACAAATGGAAAGGTCATCCTGACAGCTTCTGAAACATGATTGAGGATCTGCTCGCTGGTCCAGTCCACTTCTTGATCTCTGGGATGAGTTCCGTTATACTGTCGCAAATGTCATTGGGGTTGATCTCTTGACCCACACCAAGAGGTGCGATTGTGACCTCAGCAGGGTGATAAGTATCCAGATGCAGGGCGATGCAGGGAAGGTCGATATCCACGCTAAAACGGCATGCGCCGCCACTGAAGAATTATCATAGCTGAGGACAATAATGACTACCGTGCACAGACAGCGCCTGACGTTTCCGTTATCTCCAGGTCACACAATCAAAGGCTTGTTTTCTGAGCAATCCGGTTACAAATCATCCCGAGGCAGGGGCATCTGGTATGACGGGGCATATGGAGCCCAGGCTTTCCTGACCGCCGGACGCCGGACAATCAGAACAAGTTCTCCAATACGTCCCTACACCCAGGAGAAAAGGACTCCAGGACAATGCGCAGTTCCGATACCAGAATGTACAAACGCTGTGCCACTGAAAACCCACCAAACATGCGCGGTCCTCGGTCATGTCCAAGATCAGGTTTGTTAGGGAAAGATGGTAATTCAGCTTTCCCAAAACAGCCGCTCGACCAATGTCACCTGCTGCATCTACCGTGCTCGTCAACTGGTGACAGGGGAGAACTAAATTGCTCCAGCCTGCAGCGCATGCATTCCACGAGTCATACATCATGTTCTCCGGCGCGGTGGAGCCATCGCCTTGGGCTTGGTGCTTGCGAATGATTACCCTTTGTTGCTCACCGTATCCTTGCTGCAAACAAGACATGGCGCCACGGACGTTTTGAGAAAACAATGGAGGAAGCTCCTGCCTCCGCCATGCCGTCCGAGAACGCCGCCAACGGTTTTGGCCACTTCACATGGATGATATGAATCCAACGTCGTATCCTGCTGGGCACTCACTAAAGCGAAGCTTTCTTACCACCTGAATCCCGAACGCCACAAATCATCAATTCTCTCTATGGAATCGTTGAGCTACCGCTTGCCACTGCCCTGCACAGTATGTTTGTCCTTGGTGGCAGGGTCTGCCTCCAACTTTGACGTTTTTGTCACGTCGCTGTCCTGCCATGGGGGCAAGGGCGGGTCGGCCAGAGCATGCCTTCATTCTGCAAAGTGCCATCCTCCTCATCTTTGAACGTCTCGGTCACATCCTTCCACAAGTTCTCGTAATTCAGGCACTCTGCCGAATACTGCGGTTGTTGGGCTTTGAACCTCAGGATCATGCCCTCAAACCCAGGCCCATGCACTCTAGCTCGCTTAGGGCGTTCAAGGGCTAAGAGATGACTGCGCATACTGCGCTTGGGCACCTGAGGGCTGCTGCAACGATATTCCAAAGTTGTGCACTGCACGGATAGACTGCGGCTCGGCACTGCCGGGATACTCTGCGGTTGGGCGTTACTGGCATTGATGGGATACTCTGCGCATATTCTGCGGTTGGGCACGGCTGGGATACTCGGCTTGGATATCCAGCGGCTGGGCACTGCGGGGAGGGCGATAAGAACATAGAATTCTTCAAGTTCAACAATTCCCCACTCTGAGGGTGGGGAACAAAAACGAATGGAAGAAAAACTACTTTAGCACGTCCATCTGACCACCGAGAGGCCACTGTAAGTGTGCACGATAACCTGTAAGATTACGTGATGGAGATGATGGCGTCAAATGAGCCGCGCCAAGAACCTAGAGGCCGGCCTTCTATCCAACTCAACACGTTTTCGTTTTTCTACTTTTATCGTTCTCCCACCCAATAACATACATGTTAGAGACAAAAGGCTGTCGGGTGGATACTTACAGGTTTTGGCCATAGTAGGCTATAAGATCTACAGAAGGTCTGAGGTTTAGGCTGTGTGTCCTCTGTTGAGATCCTGAATAGAGCGGCCTCTAAAACAAACCCTTAATCCCTTCCGCCTAAAATTCAACCCCCCTGATGTCAATTGATCAGCTCAGGGGGCTGAAGGTACTTTTAAGAGGGGCAGACTACTTTCAAAGGGGCAACCTAATACTGAATTAGGGGGTGATGTCATTAAGAAATAAAAGGAATTAGGTATCCCCTTAATATCCTAGGATTTACTTGTTTTTCATTTACATTGGGTTTCAATTCGATTTCATTTTAAACGGACTTTTAATTCGATTTCAGTGGTTTAATTTTTATGGATCCGATGTCTTCAATTGCTTTTCTTTTTTTTTTAAATGGATTAAAACTTGATGTCAATAAACTTTAGTTGAATTTTGATTCGATTTCAAACGGTTCTATTTAGGTTTTCATTTGGTTTCAAGTAGGTTTTCAGTGGATTTCCATTCGTTTCTCATAGTATTTCAACAGAAAGAAGTTTAAAAGACCTTGAAAAAGGCTTTTAAAAGGCAGCCCTATCTGATGCTCTTGATGCTTTCAATAGATATTCCCCCTGATATTGATCAATTTTCAGGCGCGGATTATTTAATATTACGGTGGGAGGGAGTGGGGGACGTCTAATATTAAGGGCGAAGAGATTAGTTGTGAGAAGCCCACGACCCCACAGCTGTCGGCACTGTAGAATTTAAAGTGCGAAGGGCCTTGGTTTACATACGAGAATCACAAGGATTTTCTTATCGTTTGCTTATCGGTTTGGTCACCGCATTTGCCGCGCAAAATTCTGGATTCAACCTGGTCACAATTGGTAGATGGTTTGCACGGGGTCCATCTAAATAGGATACATCTTGAGATTTGGTCTTCGTGGGTCCCATCGGTCTGCATGAGGTCCATCTAAATAGGATACATGTGGAGATTCGGACTACATCATCTAAATAAGGTACATTTGAAACTTCGGTCCGCATGGCGCCCATATAAATAGGACGGATTAGGAGCTTCGGTCTGCGTGGAGTCCATTTAGAGAAGATGCATTAGGAACCTTGGTCTGAGTCTGCTTGGGGTCCATATGCAAACCAATCGAAAATAATTACGTTCTCGTTTGCTACTCTTCTCGTTTTGCTACCATCTGGCACAGGCCGATACATTGTGTCAGCTCCATCTAAAACTTAATTAGCGGGGTTTTTGTCCCGGCTCAGATGATGAATGGTACGTGTTTATGCTGCCTTTCGAATCCTTTCGATTACATGGTTTGCACATGGAGTAAACATGCGCAAGCAACAGCACGCAGGCTGGGGATAACTTCGGGGTAGAGTGCGCAAACAACTTGCAAACTTGCTTGCTTGCCTGATGCCCAGGCCTGGGCTGTGTTGGCTGCTGTTAGCTGGTGGACTGGCCTTCCCCATAAGTCCGAGGTTGTGATTGTCGTGGCGATGAGTCTTCTCTCTTCTTCTTCTTCGTTCAGGCTATGGAGAAGGGGAGGAACCCCCTCTCCGGGCGTCATTGCCCAGCCCGTGTTGGGCTGACTGGTCTTTACAACCCCTCGTCGGACTCTCTCTTTCTTTCTTTCATTCAGGCTATGGGGAGGGGGTTCCCCCCCCCCCCGGGCTTCTCCGCCCAGCCCGTGTTGGGCAAACTAAGCTACCGTGCCCCTCGTCGCTCCAGAATGGACTCTTTTAAGGGGGGGTTGTTACGGGACACCTGGCGTATATAAGCAGTCCATTCTTGAGCTGTGCTGCAAGTGGTATCCTTGCAGTTTGTAGCCATGACATAGTTGAGATCTTAGGTTTGTATTCTGGGTGCGATATCCCTGTAAGGTATGTCATGTTGGCTCATGGCTCGTCAGCGGTCAGCAGTGTGCCTTACTTTGTTGCCACCTTACTTTTTCTTGGGGTAACTAAGAAACAACAGCTTGCATTGCGTTACAATCCCGGTACTTTAGGGTGGCTGTCCTTGCTTGGCACTGCTGTCAAAAGTTTTGGCCATGTGAGGTCAGGCAATTTCCCACTTTAGTATAGTTATTGAGCTGCAGTACGTGTTTGGGGAGACAAGGGGAAAAGCGCGAAGGTGTGGGTTTGCCTTTGTTGGTGAAACGGACCATTTGTGTATTGACCCATTTGTGACCAAACTATTAGGGTATCGGACTCTCTCTCTCTCTCTCTCGCTCGCTTGCCATGCGCATGTCTCCCTCTCCTGCACAAGTAGTGGTCTGTGAACAAGCACCCCAACTTCAAGCTACATCCACTGCAGCAGCCATCAAGCACAGAAAGCAGCGGTCATCCCAATACCCCAATACCCTAGGCTCAGCGCTGCACTCTTCCAGCTCTGGCATGGGAGGCTGCGCTGGCCGCTTTGGGGGCTTCAGCTTCATGGCCTGGCCCAGCGGCAACCACAAGGTGCACAAGACCCGGATGTGCTTTAGTGACTTTGTGGATGAAGCTACAAGGTATTCAAATTGCCAAAGCGAGCAGGTGTACTTGCCGTAATCTGCAGAGATACATGATCACATGATATCCCTCATATGAAGTACCTCATGTACAAAAACAACATCAGCGAAATCAAACCGCTTGGAATGCAACTGCTGCAGCTCTTGGCAAGGCCATTCGCACCTGCATGCGTCCTGGCTGTAACGATCACATATTTCGGAGTGCGGGCATATGTTGTTACAGCAATGCAACAAAACCTTCCCAGTAATCATTAACCATGATCACCGCCAGAACAACAAGAACCAGCAGCACTGCAACCGTCACCCTCCCGCGACTATGCCACCATCAGCAGCACCGGAAGGACCAGCACCACCAGCACCAGCAACAGCACCAGCAGAACCGCGTCGCCACGTGCACTCCGCCACCAGCACCACCAGGACAAGGCCATCATCACGGCAGCCATCACCATGGCGGCCATCACCACGGCGGCCACACAAGAGCAGAAACACCATCATCGTCCTCGTCACCGTCATCATCATCATGTTCTTCTTCTTCTTCTTATTGCTATTGTCTTTCTTCATTCTCTTCAAAACCGCCTTGACCATCGATGTATCTATCATCCTCATCGTGTCGGCTGTGTTTTTCTCGCACTGTTCACTCAGTGCAAAAAAGTGCTTTGACACTGCGCCTCCGCCAAGGATAGCGCCTCTCCATGCAGATTCAGGAAGCTTTGGGCAAGTCTGCTGAACAAATCAGACGACTTGGAAGCATGACTGCTGCTAAAAGGAACCAAACACCATGGTCCAATCTAATTGTTGAAGCGACCGCTTCATGCGCAATCGCTTTGGTATTTCCCGCAGTGCCTCACTAGTTAAAGGATATCTAACAAAAGTGAAGGTAGAGTCACGCCATCATGCTGAACTTGAGCTTTGCCAAAAGAAGACCGCTTCCAGTGGAGTTGCGAGCCTTACTTCCGTCGATCTTCGGCATCTGCCCAACGAATTCCCCGTTGAAGTCACTCACATTCACAACCTCGAAGGCAGCACCTGCACAAGGACTGGCCCTTTTGCAGTTGCGCATGCGCTCAGAACAGAAAGGATGAACTGTCTCTCGGCTGCTCAAGCAAAGCCTTCCACATGGAGTGGGGTAGCACTGCTGGTGACCTCAGAGCAGTCCTCGCCCACGCACCATTTGCCTTACAAGCTCGCACGCAACTTCTTCATACGTCTTCCTGGAAAGCTATTTGCTTTGTACTGTTCACTTTTTGACAACAGTGACTGAATTCTTCCTGAAAGCCTCAGGCATGCAAAAGACCTGCCGAGCACCCCTGAGCATGCTCCCCCTTGAACCTAAAAAGATGTCCGGTGGGACAGTTTCCAATCTTCTCTGGCACGAGGCCGGAGCTGCGCTGGAAGGTCACGGAGCGCCCATTGCTGCCCACCTAGATGCTTCATTTACTAAGAGGCAAAGCGGACCCGCCAAAGAACCGCTACTAAACCAGCCAGGAGTCGTAGGTCAAGCGTCCGGTCTGTCCATCACGACCAGTGGGACAGTACACGCCGTCAAAGCGGCCTCAGCTCATATGAATCTGCATCTGTGATATTCTCTGCTTCTGTCCTTCAACTTCTGTTCTGTGAATTCTTTTTAGATCAAAGTTTTGCATGTCTCGCGGACTGTGAGCTGGGACAAGCTGCTTACAAGCTGTGACTTCTGGCCACGAGGTTCAATGCTGATAGGTGCTCCACCTGCCTTGCAGCATCGGTATCCTTGGCTCGTTGTGCTGGACGCTGCCCAATTCCCCACAAAAGACGCTGCCTGTTTTGAGCCCAGCTTCGCACTCGACCCCACTTGCCACCCTCAGAGAACTCAAAGTGGAAGCCACCAACCACAGCGTTCACACCGCAGCTCACGGTCAATTTCCGCAACGGTTTCTTCCTTGGGCCCAAAAGGAGGTCAAGGACAACAGACTGGGAGTGGACGAGCAGTCTGCCGCAAAAAGTATGTGCGTCACATCGACAACGCCGCCCTGACATGGAAGATCGGGGAAATGACACATCTACGGTTGAGGGCCGCGCAGGATATGAGGCTCAACTGCACAAAAAGATTCCACAAGAAACCTCTACTTTCAACCGTGAGCATCGAATCTCCCATGCCAAGGCTCCAGGACTTTGAACCAAAGTCCACCACCTCGACCTTAGCATTCTGGCATTTACCTCTCCGCCATGCAGGTACCCCCGCCCTAGGAACCAGCAACAGTGCAACAGAATCACTATAAGGATCCAGAATCATACTACGGGTCTGGGTTCCCAGGTCTACAGGAACCTCCGAGCCCGCCTGAGAGCTGAAGGCGTCGAAGCACGCACCCAAACCACCTCGAGCGTTGGTTGTCACGCTGACTGCACACAGCTGACAGAGACAGCCATCGGCCCTCCAGTAGCCCTACCTTCTTCAGCCCAAGGTATTCAACACGACATAACACGACTTGCCAGTATTAGGCTGCATCTCCGCGTTTCTTCACCATTTCAATGCCAGCGGCCGATCTTGCTGCACTCGTAGCGGTAGGTTTTGAGTCCAGAGTCCAGCTTGAAGCCTGTCAGTGCCTCACCCTCTGCACCTCACCAAGATCACTTCATCTGAATCTTGGGGTCAAGGATGTAGGGTTAGGTGCCTTGCTAGCGGAACGCAGAACATTCAATCGCTTAGCAAGGTCGCAAGACAAGCACCCGAAACCTACCTAGTAGCTGCTACATGCGTCGAAGTAGTATGCAAAGACCTCAAATTGCCTGTCTTGGCAGGTCGTCTACGTCATGCGTGCGTCTTGTGGGCAGCTGCAATGACCGTGTAAGCAAGTCAAAAGAATACCTTGCCGCCACTTCTTATATCCTCTGACATGATGTCTTTGACAGGGCTTCTTGGATGACTGAGCAGCCGAACAGGTTAGTGCTGCGGAGTATTGCGCATTTCAAGGCACCGTAGCCAGCTCAACATGCAAAGGTCCGCATCAAGTGAGGTATGCTGGCGAATATGAAGCAGTCGTCCATACACGTAAAGGGTATTCAGCTACAGTGGACTCAGACATGCCCGGTTGCAGTCAAAGCGCATTGCACCTCGTTGTCTGCAAGTTGGTTGCGCCATCCTGGCCATTCCGAATCTTCCTTCACCCGCGTGATGCCGGTATCGACGAAATCGCCGAACCTTTCAACTTTCACCGTGAGGACGTACACATATGGTATTGGAGGGGCCCCGATCAATTCAGGGGTCACTGGCAAGAACATCAAATGCGTCCACCATGTTTAAAGCCTCATGCTCAGAAGCTACTTGGGCTCAATTTCAGTTCAGCTGAACAAGGCTTGTTCGAGAACAAGAGACGTTGGCCCTAGGATCCGTGGCAATTGAGAAGTCTGAGGACTGAATGCATCCCATCCTAGAATGGAACTTGTGCCTCCTGCCCGCATGCAGACTGATCCTATCTCACAGCATAGATTGTGAGGGAATGCAGCAGCTGTTTGAGGCAATATAGCGGACAAGCCCAGTTGAGAGCCAGACGCAGTTTCTGCGAAACCTCGACAACCAGATGCAGAGGAGGCCAAACCATCGCACCACATTAGGCGCGCCAGAACGTAATTGCTACTACCTGTAACGGCACCACAGCTGCAGGACTCCTCCCTGGTCCAGGCCGCTTGTAGCAGCAAAATGCACCGCTCTGAACGGCTCCAAGTTCAACACAAAGGTGCCAAAAAGTGCACTTCATTTGTTTGTTTGTGGTGAGGGCAGTGTGCGGCTGATGCCTGAGCGTCTTCAGGGGCCTTGCATTCTGTCTGCAACCACCACGCTGGTGCCTTGACCTGCCGTATCAGCGCTGCTACTGGCGCGAACTCTGTTGCTGTCCCTTCCTTCGCCCTTCAGGCTGGGGCCCTGTTTCCTTGGTGGTGCGGGGTTTCCGTTACCGGCATGCCATGCATTGCTGGCTCGAATGACTGGCCACGCATTTCCGCATCCCCTCCTGTCTGCGCTTGAGCTCATGGGCCACAAAAATGGCCTCAAGGAAGATCAATTTGGCAGAAGGTCTTGGCCGCAGTGCCCTTATGACAGAGCTGAAAGTCGGGCTTTTCAGCTGCAGGGTCTGCGGCAAGGCACCCCATGGATTCCATGGATTTCACGGATGGCAGGTTGCAACTTGGAGCTTTGGCTCGATCCTGTTCTGTGAGGAGCCGTGCTTGGTACCGACAACCAAGTATTGAAGAAAGTACTGCAGGGCGCAGGCAAGCCATGAGGAACGCAGTTAGACAGCTCCAATAGCTGATGTGCTGAGGGGCTTGTCGTGGTTTTGCAGATGCAGGGGATTTCTCCTGCAAGCACAATGCGCCACTTCTATTCCATCACACATCAATACACTGACACCGCTGGGGGAACATCCTGCCGAGGCCCTGGTAGCATACTACCTTGACACGACTCTTGTTAACCCGTGTCAGGGAGGCACCACATGCTGGCAAGTAGCTGGATGAGCGGGGCAAACTTGCAGACAGTTTTGCTGTTTGTATCGCCTTGTACGTCAACACTCTGGCTTTGCGGCTTAAGAGACCGGAATTGGTGAGGTTGTTGGGAAGTGGGTTCTGCTTAGGCTTAGTCTCTCTTCTCAGTGGCACAGGCAGAAGATGCAGTACCTTGGAGCTCACACCTCGGAGAAGAGTATCAGTACACTTCCCTGAACCTGGCAACATGGAAAAAAACAACAAGGCGCTTCGCCGTCTAAGGGGCCCGTCTGCAACCATATGCTGTCTAACAAGGCCTACACGGAGGATGCCACACTTTCTCCTGTTTACAATCCAAAGGCGCCCAAGACCTTGTCTGACACTCATCCGAGATCGGGACTTCCCAAAATTAGGGCTACCGTTTTGAGGGTCCCCAGAATAGGGATTGTAATATCTTGTGGTCTATATTGGAGTCTTCTGATTTAGGGAAACTACCAAATCCCGTTTGGCCTGCGAAGAATTGGCCCCAGTCCATGCTTGCAAATGCACCGCTGGTCCCGCAGAATGAGGAGTAGGGCTTGTGGAAGTCCTGGGGATGGATTGGGATTCGGTCAAGCCAACCCTAGGGGTTTGGGGTGTAAGGTTGAGGGTCAGCAGCTTCCATTCATTCTTACTATCACAACACATGATTGCTATTCGAGCCCTTGAATTTCACCGAGGGACCTGGTTGCGTGCCTCTGCCGCAATTTGGATTTGCCACAAATCCATTGGAAGCTGCGAAGGCAACAAATGCTGGCTTTCATCTGTCCTTGATTGAACTGCGAGGTTCAAAGCTCTGCACCCTGTGGCTCTCTCAACCACACTTCTTAAATGGACGCTCCAAGCTTAGATTTTGCAGTGCCCTGCATAAGATAAGAATGCTCTTTCCAGCTACACGCATTCAATGCCTGCGCAACTTCAGAAAGTTTAGATGCAAGCCGTGGATCGACATTTAAATCTTGTCGCAAGCCACACGTGACAATAAATGGATTATAATGGATTTGTTGGGGCAGTCCCTATTTGCATTGGCCTACATCTGAGCATTGAAGTCTCTGTTGCAGCCTCTTGGGTTCTTGCTGGAAACCATGGTTGCATTTTAGTCGGCACTGTCTTCCTGCCGGCATACATACCTAGATCAACCCTCAGGCTGGAATACCAGCCCGAAGTGATTCGGACCCGGCAAAAGCCTGAATTCAAAAATGAAGCCCGAGGGAAGAATAGTAGCCCGAGAGCAAAAATACAACTTACCCAAAGACGCGGGCAAGTAAAAGATTGCCATCAAGACGAGTTGGACGGTGTTGATTTCAGGGAATTACGTGAACTGAGCTTCAGATAGGAAATCTAGATTCAGGTCTACGGGAAAAGACGCCCGAATAACGGGAAATCACGCCGAATATTTTTACTCAAAATCAGCTTCCAGAGTTGTCAGTTTCAATCAAATCTGTTCTGATGTTTTGAATGTCGTGCCAGAAAAACTTTGCTATCATTCCACTTATACAGCCCCATAGCTCAAGTAAACTCATTTTAGCCCGATGCTTGAAAAAAGCCCGAGTAGGGAAAAGTCTACTTTTCCAACTCAGTCTGGAATACCAGCCTGAAGGGGGATGTAGGTATATGGATACATGAGGGATACAGCTCTCAGCGGCCCCCCCTGGACCGCAAGAGATCTCTTGCAGTCCCAGCTGCGCGTTGCACTTCATGTGGCTTAGCCTGGATATCGGCGATGCGCTCATGCATTCATCCTTGTCCTCCATTCTGAAATTGCATGGCCCAAAGCCCGCTACGACTACTGCTTTAGGGGGACCCCTTCGGGGGTGGGCGTATGTGGGGGGGTCCCCGAAATAGGCGGGCCGCCTATTTGCATATCATTCCATATCATTGAAGTGCTGGGGGTCCCTTGACCACATTGCCATGAGGGAGCTGGCACAACAATCTGGCCTTGAAACTGAGGATTCCCGCCCATTTTTCCTACCCCCACCCCACACTGGTAGAATCGGCGTGGGAATAGGCGGCGCCCATAGTGACATACCCCCCCCCAAGCGCCTATTACGAGGGGGTCCCTGTAATGCTTTCCTGCAATCATACCGCCATCTTGCTCCGTGTTTTTTCAAAGACACGTTCTCGTCGCCTGCTTTCTAATTTTTTCGCGAATCCGGAAAGACCTGTTGCATTATGCCCTGAACTGTACCCCCTCACTGAGTTTCCTTGGGTGGCCCACAAAAAAGTCAAGGATGGTCTCCCCAACAGCAAACACTGCAACGGCAGCAGCAACAGGCACAACAACATGGGCAACGGCAGCCGGCAACGATTCGACAGCGACGAGGATCGTGGCGGCGCAGCGACAATGTTGACTTGTTCCTACGACTACAGCATACAACAACCACTGCCACAACTGCGCCGTTGTTGAACTCATTTCAGCTTCACCTCGCTTCACCTCAAGCATGATAAAGAGGGGGCAATCAGGACCACTCTTCTGACCACACTGCTGCTGCTGCTGATCATGAGGATAGTGATGAGGATGAGGATAATGGTGATGATGACGACTGAACATGGTTATGGTTATGGTTATGATTGTGAATATTGTGATGATCATGGTGGTGATGAAGACTGACCATGACCATGATGATGGCGACGCTGATGATGGTGTCTGACAATGATGATGGTGGTGATGCTGATGATTACCGATGCGCTTGCTGTCGCTGTCGTTGTGGCTCTCCAGGCGTCCTCAGGGAGGAGCTTGAAGATGCGAGCCTGAGGACTTGCCCACCCGGTGACCTGCACAAGATTTAAGTGAGCTGAGCGGTGCACTTGATACAAGGCTGCGGGATCAGGGCAGCCAACCTCACAAAACTTGATACTGATCTCGGGTTGCTAATTCCAATATCAGTGGGCACTAGTGTAGAGGCATCCCACACACAAAATGGACACGACGAGTGTTTGGAGCTTTTTAGCTTCAGGGTCAAGCCCATGCAACGTAAAATGCATCAAAGCTGCAAGTCTCAAGCGCGATAAACCAATTCAGACCTACATACAACCACTCAGGGCACTTTGGCCGAATGCCACCGCACATAACCACATTCCACCTGCTTGCTGGGTAAGCTGAAGGTTGCAGAACACTGATTGGCCCCAGTGCCTGTGCCAGCATATTGGCTGGGCAGATTGTCCCTGCCCCGACGGTCATGCTCCTCAGCCCCAGTCGGTCAGGGTGGAAAAGCCCATCATGGGAGTCCCGCAGTCCCGCCCGCCTATGAAACTCTTGCTGGCATTTGGCTTGTCCTACTCTTGTTGCGCCTCATCCACACTCCAGTTGACAGTCATGCCGATGACTACTTTAGATTGTTGTGGCTCCAGCAAGTACGAGCGCAATTGCCAAGGCCATTACGGGCATGTGTAAGCTCGTCCACTGTACAACAAACATGAATCAAACACGCCTGTTGCCACAGCAGTGGCCTCCTTCTCAATCTCTCGTGAATCTGCTTTGTTGACATGCGATTTTCGAAGCCGCACAAATTTCGTCGCCGGATGCCTGTTCTTTGGCGTCGTCTGTTGGCATGGCTGAACCATCGTTGCCATTCGTAAGATGAGATTGAATTGTGATAGCTCGCCTACTTACAGCGAATACGATTGCTACACCGATTTCCATGCTTTCTATGTTGCATAGTTTTTCTGAACAGACAGTGTTGCAAGTATCATCAAGATCCAAACTGTCAAAGACCTCAACCCCGAGCTCGAAATTTGCGTGAGTTCGTATCTGATGATGCAAAGGCTCCCATCAGCGGACGGCTCCAAGCAATGCTTGTGCTTCGCAGTCTCGCTTAACTCCTGCAGTTTTTGGCTGAAGGCGAAAACCGTCTGAGGGCTCCTCCCTAACTGCATGCTTGCTGCTGTATGTAAGCACACAGCAACATGGGGGCCTGAATAATTACTCCAACAGTATTCTCCAGTTCACGAATCCCCATGCAACGCTTAGCTTTACTCCTTGGTCATTCCCAACTCGGTGTAGATGCTCAAGGCCATGCGGTTGAAGAAGTACAGCTCCTGCGCAATGGTACAGTATCTGCAACCATCCCGCTTTGACAGGTAAACGCTGTTGCTGCTGCCGGAGTTGCATTGCTGCCGCCGCAGCAGAAAGCAATAATATGTTGGGCATTTGACGTCCTGAACGTCAAGTAGGCCATGCCCTTGTGCTGGAAGGCTTGATGGTGTGATATTGACAGAGTCATGAACTAACTAAAACTACAAATTTCCGAATCTGCAGCGGCGATTCGCTTGTCCCCACCCTACAAAAACATTAGGAATCGCGGTATCGAGCGGTCTCCTGCTCATTTCGCTTCTCGTATGGGGCGTAACCTCGCGCGGCAACTTGTACGCAGCCTTCGCAGGCCAAGTTGCTTAGCCCGAACTCGCCGAGACCTTGACAAGCGAGTCTTTGCAAAGCTGGCAAAACAACTCGCACCACAGGAAGAGATGGGGCCGATTGATCTCCAGGTGTTCACACAAGCTTTACGCAGCTGCGGGGGATGGAGCCGCCGTTTGGGCGGTGCAACACGAACACCCTGAGAAACCGTGGAGCCGTAGATCGCATATCATGATATTAACTTGTTATCACCTGTGATACCCCAACATGAGCTTCTCATACAGCATTTTCAATGTAAGCCAGGGGCTGTTGTACCACTTGCCATTGACGCAGCGTAGCTGTTCCGCAGAAACAACCCGGCTACGTCGCAGAAGTCGGTACCGCTCAGCCCAGCAGGAAGCAACCAGGAGGCTGCCGTGTTCCAAGGCCGCTGGCAGCGGCCTCAGGGTGAAAGAAACTATTTAAAAATACTGATCATAATACGAATAAACTCCCATATAACCCTGCACAACGCCAGATACAACTAGAAATTTATGAGTGTGCATGCTGTGAGGCGCCCCCCCTGTCTTTGTCTCAACCGCACCTCTTGTGCTGCCAGGGGTGCGAATCAATGGTTCTGTGGCTAGGCCGCCCGCATTGCTCCACGCCTGCCCCGCCAAGCATCAGTACGGTGTCGCACTGCTGGTACAAGTCCAAGTGAAAGAAGCCCCGTGTCACTCTTGCCGATGGTGCATATGACACTCTGCTGGTGGTTTCCAATAGAGCGGAGGGGCGGGCAACTGCAACGATGGCGATACCACTAAGAGCACATCGGGAATCAATTCGCTCGAACTCGAAGATGATTTCACCCCTAGGGGTAGCCACCGCCACTCCTGCAAATCTTGGCCCCAAAAACTCAGTCTGGCCTGTCGACCCAATTCTCCCATGGTTCACGGTGACTTTGCACAGACCTTCTCTTGACGAATAGTCTATCCTCATGTACAGTTGGTACACATACGTTGCTGCCGGGACGAGGCCCGGAACCACTGCTCTGGCTTGGTCATCTGCAATCCTGCAAGCAGACGTAGAACAGTGTGCCACTGACGAATCTACAGCAAATGCCTTCGAATGGACATCCCAAGTTTCTTTCTTAGAATGGCAACGGCAAGCAAGAGGCAATGCGTTCGCTTCATGGTGCTTCCTCGTGTTCGTGGCAAGACACCGCAACAAGTTTCGATTGTGCATTACTGTTTTTTCGTCGTCACTTGCTTTTGTGCAGGGAACGTACGCCCTTGTCAAACATGAGCATGAAACTTCCCCAAGCGTCCCAGTTCACCACCGGTTTGCCCATGGCCTTGAGCCTCGCAGAAACTCATCGCCCGCCTCTACAACATGCCAGGGCGAACAATGATTCTGCGACGGGGACGGCATGTGCGGTTCCGGAAAAAGATGCACCAAGCACTCCCTGCATTGCAGCGTCTGCAGAACAAGGAAAAACCATGTGTGCATTTGATGTGTCCTCCTGTGCCTTCATGGCGAGTCTAGCTACACAAAGAGCCACAAGGCAGGTCATCATTGCAAATCAAACTTTCAACTGTCACAAAACTGCTGCACTTCCCGCGGCAGTCCTCAGAAAGCCAGACGCATAGCCCCGCGTGTGTGTCCAACCTACCAAGTCCGCGCGGTAGCCATTGGCTAGGCTGGGCCTAAATGTCTGGGATTCGACATGATCTTTCCCTGGGTCGGCAAAGGCCTTGAAGTTATTCTGATGAAAGGTGCTCAAATGCTCTGAGACCTCCAAAACGGCCCCAGTCCTGAGCTTCCACTTCAGGTACTCAACACTATCCCGCAACTCTGTTTCCGAAAGTGCCCGGTTCCATGTGATGAGCTCCATGACCTGCCAGTCTCCCTTGTCACGATTGCCCTTGTTGATGGTAATCTCATGGGGCCCACCATCGAGTTGTGCGCCGGCTCTTTTTGCGACATTCTTGGGGCTGTTGCTGAGCGAGTCATAGGCCCTTTGTCGAGTGTTGGTGGCACACAGCACAACCCAGTCCCTGACGTTTTTGTGTCTGGAACTGTCGGTAAGCCAGACCTTGTTGTACTCTGCAACGCCGCTGTATCCTTTGTGGTGGCCATGCAGCCAATTGTGAGGCTCTGCCACCTGAAGGATGCGAAACTGTTTTTTTCCGGAGTAACGCGTGACGGAGCAGACACTGTGAGTTCGCGGCAAGACTTTGCCAAAGGAAAAGGAGCCGCTTGTCCCAGCCTTCAAGGTTGTCACCGCGCGATCAGCTCCATTCCCTGCCTCAATGGTGCGGTGCACATAGCCGTCAGCCTTTCCTTCAAAACTTCCCACAGAGCTGGGCCAGATGGAGCCTGCATGTTCACTCTTGAACCAGGCCACCATGCCTCGTGAAGGAGGGCTTGCTGGCTTTGGAATGGCAGCGGCTCCCACTCGTGCAATGGCAATGCGACAAAGGTGTACGCGCTTGTCGACACCCTCGAAGCGGAACTTAATCTGACCAGATCCGGTTGCCACTGCAACTCCAGAAAACCGCGCGTTTTTGTCATCGTTGACCCAAGTCCTGCCCTTGGCCCCATTGTTCACGGAGACAAGTGCCTCATGGTAAAAGTCCTCGTCATGGGACATCATGTAGAGCGCGTAAATGTACTTGGCTCCTGGCGTCAGGTCTTTCACAGTGGCGAAGGCTGGCCCGTCATCATACCTGCCAATGCAAGAACCCTAGCAAGTCGTAGAAGAATGCACGAGAAACACATGGAAAATATAAGAAAAGCAGGTTTGAGCAAATGAAAGGAAGAATGATCTTGAGATGTTAAGGAAAGCGTTGGCTCGAAAGTACGATCGCTCCAACCTTTGCATGCACCGCCCCGCCTTATGAAGCCCTTCGCGTAGGGTCGCAAATGGGTCCATTTTGTCATGGCTGCCTTGTAGCCATTAGCCAAGGTGGCCTCAAAGGTTTCCTGCGAGACCCCCTTTCGATCCTGCTGGCCGAAACGCCAGAAATTGTTTAGAGACTCTGGGGCCAAGCGCTCCGAGACCTCCAGGACTGCACCGGCCCGGAGCTTCCACTTCAGGTACTGCACGCTGTCCTTCATCTCTTGTTCTGTCAGCACACGGTCCCATGTGATGAGCTCCATGACACCGAAGTCGGTCTTTGCGCCGCTGCCTTTGTTGACGAAGATCTCTTGGGTAGAAGAGAACTTCCCAAAGGTCCCCTTCTCCGCAACGTTCTTCAGGTTCAGTGTCATTGAGTCATACGCCCTCTTCGCGCCGTTGGTGCCGCAAAGCACAACCCAGTCCATTGATCCTTTGGGGTTCCTCTCTTTTGCCGTGAGCCAAGCAGTCTTGTACCATGCAACGCCAACATTTTTCTGATGGTGGCCGTGCAGCCACTCCCCTGAGGCGATCTGAAGGATGCGGTCCTTGCCCCCTCCTGTGTATCGGGTGACAGAACAGACGGTGTGGTCTGGCTTCAAGATCTTGCCGAAACTGTAAGCACCGTTGTCAGTGCCCTGAATGTATGTCACTGGGCGATCCGCCCCAAATCCTGCGCCAATTCTCCGCACGACCCTTGATTTGATGGAGCGCCCCTCGAAGCCTCCAACAGAGCTGAGCCAGACAGATCCTGCATCTTCGCTCTTGAACCACGCCACCATGCCTCGTGAGGGTGGGTCCTTCGGCTTCTTCGGCAGCACAAATCCATTCTCGGCTTGACCACTCTGCCCGGATTGCGCTGCTTTGAAGGCTGTGGTCAAGAAGCTCCTGTGCCGGGCCAATGGATTCCGCAGGGGGCTCTGATGTGTGCTCCTTTTTTGTATGGGCTATCACCTGAAGCCTGAGGAATCTAACTGTTGCGGCAATTCACCAGCGATGTACCCATTTCGACTTGTGCAGGAAAGAAGGGTTCTCGCCACGTGAAGTTGCTGGGGCCAATACTGGTTTCGGCCGTGTTTGAAAAGGCACACACATACATTTGGCAAATCTCAAGTGTAAGACCTGGAAACACGCAGACATGCGGGGCAAACTGTTGCTTGCAGCATCCATCTGGCGAGAGCAGCTTAACATTTTCCTGGTAGAGGCACCAAAAACCTCATGGTTGTTCTCTGGGGCCAGTACTCACACTGTTTCTCGTCGTCTGACATGGAAGCCGATGGGTCTGCTGCAAGCTGGTGTGATCGCTCTTGGTTGCAAATTGGAAAAGGCAAAAAGGGCAAAGGTTCTTATGCTTTGTAAAGAGCCTAAGAAGGATACAAATTTCATGGGATTTTGGGGGCAGCAGAGAGGAGTGGGAGCGCCTGCGCAGCGTGGCAGCCCAGCATTTCGCCGCATCCGAAACTGCACAGCTTGGGCTGCGGGCCATGGCCTCACAATTATTACTCATGTTCGCATTACTACCAACACTATTGCTATCATTTTTAGTATTAGCATTATTACTATTGCTACATTACCCAGAAACAAGGAGGCTCTCACATTACATTTTGAGGCTTCGTCGGGCATGAAAGCCGAAGCTCTCACCACGCGTTTTGAGGTTTGAGTTGCTCGGGCCGGCGGGCACCACGAAGGGCGCCGCTGTTAAGTGCTTGTTGTGAAGCTGCGAGGGCTCCCAATATGGCTTTGAAATGTACATGGGTAACATGTAACATGTACAGTTCTGCAGGCGCTGGTAACTACACTGCAAAGAGTGAAGCATAAGCGTTCGATGCTTCCATGAAAACCTTGGACTACAACCACCTTGCCTCATCTTCTGCGCGCAGCAGTTTTCTGATTCTTTTACTTGTGACATGGTCTACTGCCTATCAGCAAACCAAATGGAGGTGTCTTAGAGAAATACTTTTATCATCAAAACATCGAGTCGGAGTTTTTGAAGGCATGTCCGCATTCTTCTCTCAATACATGAATGCCCTCGGCATGCGAAGCAAACTCTTATAAAATTGTTCTGTTTTGTTTGGCCATAATGGGTACCATGCTTCCTGCCTCGATACCACATGGGTCTCTGAGCTGTTTTCGCATCCCGGCCTGCAGATCACCCTCCAAGCTGAACTCACGCACGAGGTTGTCGCAACCTTTAAACAAACCTCGGATCCGTTGGAAGGAATTCCAGGTGAAGAATTTGCACTGAATCTTGCAGTTTTCTCTTAGTTGAGACCTTAAGTTGCATGGACTCCCAAAGCCGTAGCAAGAGTCCTAAAGCCCTGACCGGAATGAAATTGGGCAAGCAGCGGCAAGTGGTGGCACCATGTTGTGTCCCGTGCCTATGTGCTGGCAGGCGCTTGAGGAAATTCATTCCTTGTACGGCATAACATGTGCTTAGAGGGCTCTCAAGAGCTCTTTTGGTGCACCTTCACCTTGATTATACGTTGATTTGACTCCGGGCCCTTGATCGTGAACAAAGTGGCCTCCCGAGCTTTGAGGTCCATCGTCGCATACTTCGCTGCCTACAACTAATATGCTGGAACCCAGAATCAACCTTTAAAGAAAATCGGGCCATCACAGCCAGCTTGCCAGAAGAAATTGCAGGATTCTTTTTCGCGGCAGCGGGCTTCACAGTCCGTTCGCTCCAGCGCCTCAAGAAAAGGAACAGCATCAGTAGCATGCCCCACATCATCGTCCTCATCACCATCATCACCATCATCATCATGCACAGTTTCAGGAGCGAATCAATATGAGTCACAGATTCAAAGTCCAGAATTCATTTGCCGCATGTATGTGTGAAATCTACAATCCAAATAAGTCTACACTACACTAAGCTATCGTCCTGAACAGTCAAAGCCATAGGCCCGCAAGGTCAGAAGAAACGTGAAGAAGCCATCTGTGTAGAAGTCGTGTACTGTGGCTCGAAAAGGGGTCCTCTCAGCTGGAGAACCTAGCAACTAGACACCCACGATACACGATATACAGAGGCAAGCACTAGCCTGAGTGCGCGAAGCTGCAGCAATACAGGCAAAACAGGACACAGCGCAGGGCACTTCGACAGTCAGTTACAAGGGCCCGCATGTGATGGGAAGGCTCTGGCCCAACATGCGCGTGCAGCATGCGGCTTTACAAGGCCGGCGGCTCCAGGACAACGGCTGCCGAGCGGACAGCAGGCCCCTGTCTGAAGCTCAGCACGGCGGCGCAAGGCCGCATGAGCCCGGAAGCCCCGGATGCAAACCGAGAGCTCCTGGAACATAAGCCCAGTCAAGGCTGCCCCATCGGCGCCCTCTCTGGCGGCTGCTGCAGACGCAACGAGACGCAGAATGCGGTCAGCTCCGTTGTCCCAAGCGCCAGTGGTCTCAGCCACCATCGGAATGAACTTGATGCCTTGCACGGCACAAGTGGCTGCAGTGTTCAGGTGCGAAGCCTTCACGGCAGCATAGGCCGCTGCCGCGCTCACTGCTTCGACCGATGCCTGGGGGAGGGACCCGATCCGCTGGGGGCCAGTAATGGCCAGGTCAAGTGCAGATGGGGACCCTTCCAAGCAGGGAACGAAGATGTCAGCCGGTCGCCGGCCTGAGAGCTGGATATCCTCCGGCCGCTGCGGCAAGAGCAAGCCAGCCTTCTCCTTCTCGGGCTGCAGGCCTGCACGGAGAGCCCAGGAGCAGACAAGGTCCCGGCCACCGACAGTGCAGATGCCAGCATGGTGGGAGTAGGCATCCAAAATGCCATCGCAGCGTGGGCACCAGACATTGGCGTTGGCTTCCGGCATGCCCAGCCTGAGGCGTAGTTCAGTAATGAATGCCGGAGGGTCCATGCGGCAGCGTCCACGCGGCACTGCCGCGAGGAAAGCCCTGGCCCCAGGCTGCGCCTCTGACAGCAGCATGGCTTTGGCAACCGGTGTGGCAGAAGAAAGCTGCCTCCGCCAGTTGGCAGCATCCAGGAGGTCGCAGATGTCACCCTGCCGCTTGGTGAAAGCCACCTGAGCAGTAAGCGGCTGGTCCAGTTGAGAG